CCCAGGCTCGGATTGCGGGGCCCGGAGCGTTGAACTCTGCACCGGAGACCCGATGACGCATGCGGAGGGGCAAAGAAGGCGAGAGGGACCGTTTCCGTAGGCCGGAGAGCACCCCAGGTCGACACTCACTCACTCACTCACTCACTCACTCACTCACTCACTCGCATGTGGCCTTGACATGCTGCAGAGATGTAGGATGGAGAGCCCAAGCCAAGGGCGTTTCAGGTTGGCAGGTATAGTTTGACAGGCTGCAAAGCCAAAGCAACGGGAGTCTTCCTGTGAGCAGACCACCCCTCTGAATACCGTATGCCATCTGCAGATCAATCCCTGCCCCAGGCATGCTACAGCCGCTTTCTTTCTCATGTTCGCAGTTGAAACATCACTAGCTCAAAGCCAAGCCGTCGGAAAGCCAGTGGCCATCTACTGACTGTTCCTTAAGCCCTGTCGGAATCCTGACGAACCCATGGCTTACTCTATCCTACTATGTAGGCTAGCGGGCTTCTACGGATTCTTCCGGGCTTCACAGGCACTCGCTTCAAGGCAGCCTTAATGAAGACTTTATCGTCCCCAAAATGGTCCCCCATTCCTAAATGGTTGGTATTGCGGGTTGAAAAGAAGGTCGTTTGGGTCGTCGAACCCCAAAACTCTGGCCCATAGCCGCGGCTCTCTTTGCACCAGCAGTCAGCACACTGTGGCCGGAGGCCTCAACAACTCGCCAAGTTCAGGGTTTGGGTTGGAAGAGTTACGACTTTTGAACCGATCCACGCTGGTCTTGAATTTCAAACTATAGTATACGCTCTTCCAAGCGTTAGGCGAAGGCCACTCTGGTAGTTCTTTGTGCTAACTCTTGAAAAGGAGCCGGCTCCGCGTCCGTCCATGGTGAAGCCATGTGGCGATATGGAGATCTGAGACGCTTGCACGTTATAGGCTGGGTATAGGGGCCTGAATAGTTACCAAGGCTATTCTCAGGGTCCCTTATTGAACTTAGAGTAGAACATATCCTAAAACACTGTTTTTGATCAAGGCCCCGGCATTAGTAGCGAGGCTTAATCGATGAAGTTTCCCAAGCCCTTAACCCTAAACCCTAAACCGTAAAGCCTAAACCCTAAACCCTAAACCCTAAACCCTAAACCCTAAACCCAAACCCTTAACCCTAAACCGCAAAGCCCTCGGTGTAACTCTCCTTCCAAAGGGGAAGCCTGAAAATTCGCGACGCTCCGAGGCAGAACATACACTTATGGAGCCATTCGAGGCGAAACCTGCCATACTCGTAGGGTTTCGGGTTTTAGGGTTCAGGGTTTCGGGTTTTAGGGTTTAGGGTTTCGGGTTTTAGGGTTTAGGGTTTAGGGTTTTAGGGTTTGTGGTTTAGGGTTTCGGGTTTTAGGGTTTAGGGTTTATAGGGTGTAGGGTTTAGGGTTTAGGGAGCCTCTGGGAGCACCTCCGACGCCGAATGCAAGTTGCAGGTATCACCCCGCACTGTTTCATCTGGGTCCTTGTTGGATAGGGGTTTACATTTTTTTCAATAAAAACCCAATAATGATTGAAGATTAGGATTTTTACTATAGCCTCAACAGGGAACCAGTCATACAGAGGCAGGACTTTCCGAAGGTCTCTGCACTTCACAAAAATGTGGCCAGACTTGCAGGGCGATGGCATAGGGTCAGGTGTTATGGGGCCTTAGGGATTTAGGGTTTGAGTAGGGTTTAGGGTTTGGGATGTAGGGAGGTTTTATGGGCTTTAGGGCCTTAGGGATTATGGATTTAGGGTTTGGGATGTAGGGAGGTTTTATGGGCTGTAGGATTTAGGGGGTTTCGGGTGTGGGGATGTTTTAAAGCTTTAGGGATTTAGGGTTTATAGGGTTTAGCAAGGTTTTATGGGCTTTGGGGGTTTAGGGTTGCGAAAATATGGTTCAATCCTCCCGTAACTTGCAGCCCGGGCGGTTCTGAATGTCGCCGGAAACGTTGGAGACTTTACGGTTTAGGGTTCCCAAAGGCTCCATGTACCTTTATAGTAGATACTTAGGCCTTAAAGGGGTCCCTATATAGGTACTTTAAGGCCTAAGTATGTACTATATGGGTACATAGAGCCTTAGGGCTTTAGCAGTGCCAAACCCGCATTTTGCCGCCTTTTTGTCCTGCGTTGAGCAAACCGACGACTTGACGGTTTGAGCAGTCATAAATTCGAAGATGGAGCTGACAGGATACTCCATGCCCCTTTCGCAGAACTGGGTCTGGTGATACTTGGTCCATTTTGGTCCCTTTGGGGGCGTTCCTCTAGACCCTAAACCCTTTTGGGGGGTTCTTCTCTTGAAGCTAAGATTTGACGATGCGGGCCGCACTGCCGCTCCCTAAACCCTAGTCCCTGAACCCTAAACCTTGAACCTTGAACCGTAAGCCCTAAACTTAAACCCCGAACCCTAAACCCTAATTACGCTTGCAGTAAACCCTAAACCCTGGACAAAAACCCTGGACCCTAAACCCTGATTACGCTTAAAGCCCACCCTAAACCCTCGACCCTAAACCCTAAACCGTTACCCTGGCTGCGGGTCTAAGTTTGAAACCATGGGCCCCTAGTATGGGTCCTTAAGGGTGGGATCCTTATATACCTACTATATACCCTATATTATATGTACCCTTCAGGGTCCCTAGAAAGGCCTAAGGGTCCATATTCAGGGCCCATACTTAAAACGAACTTACTTTAGAGCGGGGCATGCTGTGAAATGTTTTTTCCGCTCCGCGATGGCAGCTCGGCATCTGCAGGGCCAAGGCGAACCCGGATTCGAGGGTTATCCAAAAAGGTTATCTAGGGTTCAGGGCTTATAGGGTTTAGTGTTTAGGGCTTGGGGTTTCGGGTTTTAGGGTTCTTGGTTAAGGGTCCAGGTGTTCAAAAAGGCTTTGCTTTTGCCTAGTTAGGGCCTTCAGGGGTTCAGCGTTAAAGTTTCATGCTGTGCCGGCGCAGCGAGTCACAGCAGGAGTGACGGCTGCAGCTCATCACTCTGGTGACACCTCTGAGCCACGGCACCATTTTACAAGTGCAGTAATTGGTTTCATCGTTGGAGTCCCGTTGCCCTAAACCATCCTAGACCCCTTCACCCCAAGCATTAAAGAGCACTCGTGATGCGTGTTGCCAAAGGTCCATGGGCTGGGCCGTAGCTTAGGGCCTATAGGGCTCCTTGTGCAGCCGAAACGAAGGCCGCCGAATGCAAGGTACCCGGGGATTCCAAGGAACTGGAGATTTGGAAATCTAGGGTTGAGGGGTTGAGAGGTTTAGGTTGGTACGTCGGAGCTCCACAACGATGTGTCAGCCGTGCTTAGCCAGGGTCCATGGGCCCCTGAGACTTGCCTTAGGCGGAGTCGGCAGCAACGTCAATCCTGGTGGGGCATTTGTCAGAATCGTAAGCCTTCACATCTGGTCAGTCTTTTCTAACGCGCCGTGGATTCACGACCTCAAAGGGTCATTTGGGTGTATGGTCTACAGCTTTCGCTTGTCTTTTAGAAAAGTGGTTTGGGGATAGGGTTTAAGGAAGCATTTCCAGGCATACAAGAGTTGTCCTACGCATAATTACATGAGTTGACATCAAGAGTCTGGGTTCAACAGTTGGTTGTCTCAACCCTTAGGTGATGTTTTGGATGTTGGACGTAGCGCATCCCCGACTGGAAACAGCGAGATTTGCCTAAATCTAGGGGTCCGTGCAGCAGGAGATTCTACTACCTCGGGGTCCATGTAAGGGCCCACTTGCATCAACCCGAAGGCAAGAGGGGCATGCCTAAGTCTTAGTGAAAATTGCTTGTGTCAGCTTTCACCCTGAACCCTACACCCCCTTAAGCCCTCTTCAGAACCCAAAACAGCCAACTGAGCCTTATCTGCTCACCGTGGGAAGCTTGTGAAGATGTACCAGTGTTCACAGAAGTGCTTGGAATATAAGGTAAAGACATGTTAAGGGTCACTTTAGGCTTAGAGCAACCCAAAACCCCGAACCATTTCAAAAGCGTACACTAAACCCTGAACCTTAAACCCTAATCTGCGGAGCCTTGCCGGCCGTGCGCGAGTGTGAGAGTCGAAACCCTAATTCCTACACTAGAAACCGAGACATGGTCTGGCCCTCCCCTCCCCTCGAAGCCCTACCCCCCACTTGTTGAACCGATACCTATAAACCTAGAGAGGAATCCACCTACGGTTTAGGGTTCGGGCTTGAACCTTAGCCATAAACCTTATATAAACCCAACACTCTAAAGCCTACACCCCGAAACCCAGAAGGAGTATACCAGGAATGACTCGCCCACTGCTCCTCCTCATCGGCCTCTGGAGCAAACAGACCTCGCAAAGTTCTTCGATACGAGAAAAGGCCGCGACCGCCAAAGCCCAAAAGGCCGAAGCCACAGAGCCCTGAAGAAACCACATAAGTCAAGGGACCAAAGGAGGGACCCTTAAAGGAACCCTTGGGGTTATATAGGGGCTTTATGAGACTATATAAGGGGGATACGTATAAGGCTTATATAGGGTATTTGGAGGGTCCCTCCTATTGTCCCTTAAACATAAGCCTAAAAACCCCAAACCCTAAAGGGTGGCTTGTCCGAGTTGTGAGAGTGTAAACCCTAAACCTTAAACCCTAAACTCCAAACCCTAAACCCCAAACCCTAAACCCTAAAACCCCAAACCCTACTAAAACTCCTAATCCTAAACCACAAACCCTAACCCCTAAACCCTAAAACCCCAAACCCTAAACCCTAAAACTCCTAATCCTAAGCCCTAAACCCTAAACCCTTTGACATGGCTCAGGCTGGAGATCCCCGAGGTCGAACCTAGCGCGAAGTAGCAACCCAAATCTCCATCACAACTCATGGGTTTAGGGCTTAGGGTTTAGGGTTTAGGGTGTAGGGTGTAGGGTTTAGGGGTTTAGGGTTTAGGGTTTAGGGTTAGGGTCCTGTTTAAGGCCCCTTAAGCGGATCTATAAGGGTTTCTATCAGGGTAGTATAAGTGGTTCTGTAGGGGGTTTTCGGTTCCCTTGTACGCCTTTTTGTAAGGGTGCCGTACAATTCTGGAGAATCAAAAAGGGACCCTAGTTTGCAGAGCTGCCCTCTTGACTCATAAGTGTTTCTTTTGCCTATATAATTGGAGGGGTTTCTATTCTGAAAAACGGATGCTCGAAATTAAGCACCTCATACTGGTCCATACTACCTTGTGAAGCCTAAACCATACGACCCGAAATAGGTAGCCGGGCTTCTAGAGAGCCCCAACAAAGAAGTTCAGACACTGGAGAGAGTGCCTTGAAGCTTAGAGTATCAGCATTTCTCGTTTCATGCTCCTGGGCTCATACCTGCATCCCTTGCTCTAGAGCTTCGGCTACCTTAGATAAGGGTTTTAGGGTTTAGGGTTTGCAGTGGGCTACAGAATAGATGGGTCGTAACCTAGTATTTAGGTAACTCGAGCTCTAGGGCTGTCCACTGTCCATTCCGGAAAGTGCGAAGAACCTTTTTCAGTCTTTACATTCGGAAGCAATCCCCCCCAAGCTGATAGCCTTGGTGACATGCACTGTTGTTTCGTCATCATCCGAGGGTTTGAGATGCCCCCGACCCCCCAACCCGAAACCCTCCTCCCCGCCGGCCCAATCGAAACAAAGAGGAACCCTAAACCCTAAACCCCTAAACCCTAAACCCCTAAACCCTAAACCCTAAACCCCCTTCCCATGATCCGAGCCGAGAGCAACAGAGGCCCGGTGGTTTGCAAGAGGGCAGTTGCAGACTCAGTTTTGGTTTAGGGTTTAAGGTTTAGGGGTTAGGGTTTAGGGTTTAGGGGTTAGAATTTAGGGGTTTAGGGTTTAAGGTTTTGCTTCTGTCAGGTGCTGGGTTGTAGGGCTTCTCAGGGCCTGAATCCTTTGTAGAATTCTCGAATGTAGCAGTAGCAGTAGT